CACCTACCTACCTACCTCTCTCTCTACCACCCACCTACCTACCTACCTCTCTCTCTACCACCCACCTACCTACCTCTCTCTCTACCACCCACCTACCTACTTACCTACCTCTCTACCTCTCTACCTCTCTCTCTCTCTCTGGTGGCAACCTTTTTTGTGGCTAGGCAGTGTCTACCTTTTACTTGTAGATGCATTTGTTTCACTTAAAGTTTTTTTTTATTTAATTACTGTACTTTGTTCCAACAAGTATTTTCATTTCCATGTGTACATGTATACATTTCTCTGTCTCCTGTTTTTACTTTACCTTATGCGTTTTCTGCCTCATTATGTAAATAAGGTGGGCTGCCCTGTTAAGTCGCACTATGTAATAATGTAAAAAAAAGAAGATAATGCTTCAAAATGTAGTAAAACTGAATTAAAACTGCATTATGTAATAACTGACTCAAAATGTAATAAAAGTCTTGAACGCATTTTGTAATGCTTTCAGCAGCATTATGTAATAACATTATTGTTATACATTTTGTGGCGAATGTTTCAAAATGCGACGGTTGATTAATTAATTAATTTTTTTTAGAAATGATAAAGTAATAATGTGATGCATTACGTAATAAATGATCACAAACCAGTGTTTGTGTGCATCCTAATAACTTGTAATAATGATCGTGTTGCAGATACTACACATTTAAATCTTTGAAAAATTTTAATACATTTTAAATTCAATTTCGTTACAGTTTGAAGCTCGTTTTTTTATTACATTATCACATAATGCAGATTTACATGCCCTTTTTGGGTCAGGTCCTCTAGGTGCAGATCGATTGTTTGCATCAGTTTAGCAACTAGTGTTGGGAACAGCAGTTCATTTTAGTGTACTGTCAGAATCAGTTCATTAAAATGATTTGTGTAATTATTATTATTTTTTTTTTACATTTTTCTGTTCTGCATGCACTCGGTMTGCACGTGGCTCTTACTGAATATACTGTAAAGTTTAAGTTAGTCTGTAAACCTGAATGTAGAGCTTTAATTTAAAGACTTTAAACCAACACATCCATGCAGGTGAGGAGAAATGAATGAGGATTTACCCTCAGACAGAAGGATAAGAGTCCCTCGCTTCAAATTAAGATGCTTTAAGAGGTTGTGTGTACCAGTCACTTCTAGATTTTTAGTGAGTTCCACGTGAGGCTGCACATGTGTAGCGTTATGGTCAGGTTGTGTCATGTGCAGTTTATGCTATGAACTCTGCGTTTTTCTGTTTATTGCTCCTGAGATTAATGTGCAACATTGTGTGCAAAGTATCGTTTTTTGTGTGCTGGGTCTACTGTGATGACCGACACAGCTAGTATAATTTGTTAAATTATCAATGAAGTAGGCTACAACACTTTGAGTCTTTGACAAATCTAGCATTTTTACATGGCAGCCACAGCCAAATAGCCAACCAAGTAGCTGGTTAGATAACACAAAAATGGCTATAATTTGGTCACTTTTACAGATATTGAGCAAGATTTTTGTGTTGTAGTTGAGAAACCTTCACTACACATATTGAATTCTATTCTGCAGAATATCTTTGCTTCAACTTAATTCTTGGAGTCAACCTGTTTGTCAGTGTGGACTAACAGAGGCTTTGGTGGTGAATCCAGCCCTCTGTTTCTTCTAAAAAATTGCTGTGTTTCATCCTGCAGTCTGAGGTCTTCCCTTATCCTGAGATAAGYAATGAAGAGCTGGAGGAGATCAGGCAGTTTGTAACACCGGTAGAGAAATTCTTCAATGAGGAAGGTGAGTTCAGACATTATGTGAAATCTACTTTTGGAGTCTGTTACCTCTGAGACCTTTAATATGCTGAGTCATGTTTTGATTATTTTTAGTTGATTCTGTGAAGATCGATCAAGAAGCCAAAATCCCAGCAGAGACTCTGAAAGGCCTGAAAGAGTTGGGCCTGTTTGGAATCATGATTCCTGTGGAATATGGTGAGATTAAAGGTTTTTGTCTGATTGTGGGTCGTTTTGGGTTAACTGCTTCTGTTTGTTTGTGTTTTAACTCCAGGAGGTCTTGGACTGTCCCACACCATGTACGCACGCCTGAACGAGATCATCGCATTGGACGGATCTATAGCTGTGACTCTGGCTGCACATCAAGCCATAGGGCTGAAGGTAGAACTGAAATACTGGAAAAAGTGGAACGTTATTCTCTGTAAACTTGTTTTATTGAACCACGTTGAAGGAGGACTGTATTGTGTTTTTATTTTCAGGGCATTCTAATCGCTGGGAGTGAAGCTCAGAAGGAGAAATACCTGCCCAAGTTGGCATCAGGAGAACACATTGCAGCTTTCTGTCTGACAGAGGCAGGGAGGTAAAAACTCAACTTCAGCTTCAACTTATTTTATTTTAACCATTTAGTGACTTATTGTTTTAAACATCAACTTTTATTTTAGTTCACTTTTTTGGCATTTAGTCTTCCACAAATGTTAAAACCTTTCAAATTAAAATATAAAATAATTTTTAAGTTCCACCCCTCCTCTCAGTTGCCACCTTAAAGAGTAACTTACCCCAAAATTTACCTTTTTAGCTGATAAACTGACTAGAATGTGTCTAAAATGTTATATAGTACTGTTTCTGTGCTAATTTTGATGTTTTTGTGCGTATTTGTTCAAATCTGTAATATTTGGGC